GGGGGAATTTGATAGGAGCATATTTATATGACTTAGTTAGCTTGTTTTCTTGCATTTTCTTAGTTTGTTTGTGTTGATTATAATGTTTTAAGCTATTTTCGTGTGTTTGTAGATCCAAATGACAAAGTTGGCAAAAAAGTGCAATTTGGAGCATTTTGAGGTAGTTTTGGGCATCAAATGGATAGCTTATGAATGGAGCAAGATGGATGGACGAATTTGAAGTTCAAGAGGCTAGGAATGTGCTAAAAAGATGAAGAAAATAAATCCAAGACAAAGAAGATAAAGGAATCAGCTTAAAAGAGGAAACATTATCCAAAACCTTATCCAACCTTATCTTATCTTATCCTTGCCTAATCTAGCTTTATCCTATCTTATCTTATCTAAATTAGTTTGTACCTTAAATCTAGCTGCAAGGGGACCTAAAAACTTGATTTCTAGAAGGCCTATCATTTCCCTACATTTATGCTGCACCCTTACTCTTCTAGAACCCCTAAATTTGTGCCGCATTATTCCCTCTAGAAGGCCCTACAAATCTGGCGCCCCTTTATGTTCTAGAAGCCTAAGAATCTATTGGAAACCTTAATCCTTTTCCCTTTGGATTTTTGCCAAACCCTAGTTCTATTCCTTAAGGATTGTGCAATCCAAATCCTTAAGGATTGTGCCATGTATTTCAGCCTATAAATACACATTCCTGCCGCATAAATCAAACCACCCACGCACCCACATACATTCAGATATAATTGAGAGATTTCAAAGAGTTTTATAGGTGCACTTGCGTGGAGGAAGGAGAAGGAGAAGCTTGTGTCGTGGCTTGCAATCCAAGGGAGAGTTCGAAATCTGCCATTGGAGCTGCTGGGACATTCTTGGTTCTTTCTATCCTTAGATTTGTTTCAATGTTGCTTTTAATTTGGTTTTATGTTTTTAAAGACATGAGGAACTAATCTCTTTTTAGTTGTAGGTGAATTCGAAGCCATGATTATATGCTTTATATGAATTGATTACATCCAGTTATTGTTTCTAAAGTCTTGAGTGTGATTTGCTTATCTGCATTATCAAAACTTGTTTATGTATGTGAATTGAGGATGCATACTTAGTTTGCATGCATGAATTTGATGATAGAATATAAGGGAATTTCACCTAATCGTTATGAACTTATATTCATGAGTAGTAAAAGCAGCTAGTCACGATTGTGTTAAGTAAATCCTAGGCAAGAGTAACATGCTTTTCATAGTTATGAATGTCTCGTCAATGCTTATGGTTTCCATTGAACTTAATGATCTTTGATATGTGTCTCTATCATGCGCATTCCATAGTTAGGGGACTTAATAAGAATAATTTGGTTGTGATGCGTTATCCATTCAATTCAATGAATCTAGGGAAATCTGAGAATCAATTGGTGTAATCTAATTAATTTGGAGCATTGTCATTCATGGTTTATCGAAAGAATAACTAGAAATCGATTCGTATGCATATGTTTTATGTGTGGAGAAGGAACCCTCTAACTAAGCTTTCACCTATTCTATTTCATTCAATTTCGAGTTTTTAAAGTTTGTTTTACAAGTTTTTGTTTTTAAGTTTTAATTTTGTCAAAACAAAATCCCTTTTTCTTAAGTATTGTTTTTAGAGTCAAAACCTGTTTTCTTTTAGTATTTTGAGTCAAGTTAAGTTTTATTTTCGTCCAAATCACTTGTTAGGTCTAGAATTGAGTCATTTTGATTGTTTGTTGCTGTTTGGAGTATTTTAAGTCAGTTTTGAATCTATAGAGTCTAGTTTAGTGTTTTTGAGTCTTATTTGCATTGATTAGCAGCCCTAGTTAATCCCTACTTACATCTTTACTACAATTATCAATAATAGGGTTTTATTTGTGTGTCGAGTTAATTTTCACCTCATAAACCAAGACTCAACTCTATAAGAAAAGAGATGAATTTGTTATGGAAAATTTTATACAGACCCATTTATTCTTTTTTTATACCTAACTTATAGTTTTTAATCTTGAAATTCTGAATCTGCCCAACAATTTTCTTTCTACACCCATAATGAAAATGAACAAAAATATAAAATTCCAACACTAGAAATCTGGGGCCATGCTATCACTACAAACCTTAACCACCGCCAATTTCTACCCCTCCCCAACCCCCCACCTCCATCTTCTTATCACCCACAATGAAACCCCCAAAGATAGCCATCAATGTCCCTTTCCCGATCTTTCGCCGGCCACACAATAGCTCTATCTTCCATGCAATCCTTCTAACATGTCCGAATTATGCCGAAATTGTCGACATGTCGAATCTAATTGTGTTGGACCATATATTAATAATACCATTAATTTTTCAAAAAAAAGAAAAAAAATATATTGACATGTTTCTTTTGGGTTTTTTAATCGGGGGTTGTTGGGAATAATGTTCTAATTTCCATATTTTTGTGGGTGGTAAGGGAGGTGGTGGTGGGGAGTTGGGGAGGTTAGAAACTGGGTGGTTGAGGTTTGAAGAGATAGGATGGCTAGAGTTGCCTATTGCTAAATTATTATTATTTTCTTTTTGTTCTTATTGGGTGTAGAAAGAGAATTATTGGGCACATTTGGAATTTCAAAATAAAAAATAATAAGTTTGGTGTAGAAAGAGGATAAATGGGTCTAAATAAAATTTCCCATTTGTTATTCCTTTGTAGAAACCTCTTTGCGTAAGCAAAGGCTATTCACCCAGAAGAGTACCTTCATTCCTTTGCTACCCTTTGCTACTTGACTCCCGTAAATTTGGATGATGGAATAGAATCTCAAAAGTTCTCAAAAAGGAAACCTCTAATTTCTTCACACCAATGATATATGTGAAAAGGAGATGAGTGACATAGGGATGAGTTTGGTGCTAGCAACACCAACCTATGTTGCCGGCCTTGTCCAGAGAAAATGGAGAGTGATGCTTCTCCAATTTCTCCTAACAAAACCCTAGAGAAAGGGCTAGAGTTATAACGTCGTCTCCAACCGAAGGCTAGCCAGATGGCTCGTTTTAGCCCTCTGGCCCTCCAAGAAATTAATATTTTAATGAACAATACATGGCCATATTTCTTACCATCTCCAACCGAGGCCATAGGGCTTGTTTTAGCCCTGTCACAAAAAACTGTCTCCAACCGATGGTCAAAGAGCTATAGTATGGAATGTGAAGAATTGAAATAAAATAAGGTAAGATAGTATGGAATGGTGAAAATATGTGAGAAATTGTGTAAGAAAAAATTAGAAATAAAAAATAATAAAATAATAAAAACCTTCAAAAAAAATAATAAAGTGGGCTAGGCATAAAAAACAAAAAATGGGCTGGGACAAAAACAAAAACCTAAGCCCTAAACCCTAAAGTGGGCTGGGCAAATGGAAAAAAAACAAAAAAAAAAAGGGGCCAGGCAAATGGAAATGAACAAAAAAAAAAAAAAAAAATTGGGCTAGCCAGTGGACTGATTGGCTAGCTCATTTAGGCCAGCTGGTTAGCCCTTTAGCCCTTTTTGTCCAGTAGGGCCCACGACCCCTTTGGCCTGACCTTCGATTGAAGATGGTTTTCGGGCTATTTTCGACCCTCTGGCTCTCTGGACTCTTTGGTTCAAGATGGCCTAACACCCTTTATATAGTCCCTTTCCTTTAAGTGACTAAAGAAAAAAACTGTCACACTGCGACTGGCGAATAAGGAGTATTCACAAGTTAGGGTATAAGTCATATTTTAGCTATAGAAATAAATTCTATAACCAAGACACGATGAGGAAAAATTACAATAAAATAATAATTTGTAGCAAAAACATAATACATCGTATAACACTGGTTAGTAACTTTTACATAATAAACGCTTGAGTTTACTACATAAAGTTTATTGAATAAGCAGTGGAATAACATTAGTGCATATATTAATTCACAACAAAAAGTACCAAGTAAATAATAGTTAGAATGCAACAATTTTTTCAAATGCATATATGTAAAATGAGATGGATGAATGTATTCACTCCCTTCTAATCCCGGTGACACATATCTAAGCTACCCAAGCCTGCACGTCCCATACCATGCTTATACCACTTGGCTCTGAATATCTTAGAATATGAGCCGTTCATCCCTTAAGTGCAAATTTATAATTTAATTATCAACTTTCACTTTATTATATAGGCACTCCCCCGACACTCATTTATATACCCAAGCCACTCCCCTTGACATAAACAAGGTTTCATTATTTCATAATCAACCAATTGTATATTCAAGCTCTTCCCCCGACGGCTGACATAAAAAGGTTCATTATTTCATATTCAAGGCATTCTCCAGCCTTTGAATATCCTCACAACTCAAACACTTTACACAATTCAACATTTTTTCTTGCTTTGCCTTTGCATGAATGCTTATGTATATACAATGTAACATTATACAATCTACAACCCTAATCAAAATAGTTAGTAACCAAAATATATCATAGTATCAGTAAATAAAATATCAATAATATCCAACAGTATAATTGAGAAATATTACTATTACCATTTCCATTTGCTTCCTTTGCCGTCCTCCTTTAGATGATAATAACCATTTTCTTATATTAAATTCTAACTATTCTTTTGTAAACCCATTTCGCTTCACTACAAGAAAACAGGACTTCAGTGACAATGGCAAAGCATCACTGAATACTACAAATTCGTCACATAATAGTATATGTGACTAATTTCAGTCGTCACAAGGCTCGTCACCTATGTGGCATCACCGATAGTATATGTGATGAATTTGTGATTCGTCACCTGTTTTTAGCATACGTGACGCCCGATTCCTCACATATTTTCAAGCCCAAATGCCAATCTTGACTCAATTTATTACGTTATAAGCGTCAGAAATCCTAAAATTATGTGATGAATAGGTACATCGTCACATGCTTCTTTAAATTGTTTATACTATATTTTAATCCATTTATTCTTTTACATTTTATCATTTTAGTAATTAAACTAGCATTTCAGCTTAATATAATTCTGTATATGGCAAGTACATACTATGAAACTCAATGAAAAAAAATTCTTATAATTCAAATATGGGTAGTTTTTACAGTAACATGTCCACAGTAACCTACAATATATCCCAATTGTAGCTTGCACAAGATAATATCATAACTAAAAATATTGAATAGGAGTTGTCTGCTACAAAATCTGTAGCATCAATAATAGGCAACGTAGAAGAAACTAGCCCTTTGAATAGGTTCAATCTTTAAAGCTCCAGCTGCATCACCACTTTTCATTTTGTAATCCATTCCAGTAGACATATCAAGAAGTGTTTCACTCGAACAAAACGGTTAGGTAACCCAAATGTTGTTCAAGTGCATAACTTACAGAAAACATTATAGCAAGAAAAAAGTGTTGATACACAAGATATATCCCTTCTACAGTACACTTGACCAAAAGGTATACATATTAACACCTATTTAAGTTATTAAACCACTTTACCGGTATATATTTGTAACAGCACATGGAAATACCATGATTAACCTGCAAAAGACAGAAATGGATTCACACAAGTTATTTGCTAGCCAAGCTAGTTGGACCTTTTTTTCCATATTAGTGGACCTAACCGAACACAGAGACCATTCCTAAAAAACAGTGAGACCCAAATATTCAAATCCCAAATGACGACTAATTTATATATAAAGCAAAACAAGTAGACTTAGTAAGAAACAAGAATCCCAACTAAAATCTCAAACAAAAATCCATCACAACAAAAGGCAATTACCCATATGAGCTAACAAAAGGGTTGGAAGTACCAAGTACCAACCTGTAATTGAAAATTAATATAAAAAATGAGTTAGCCAAACATCCGAAAGGATCCAAATGTAGATTCCCAAAAAACACAAGAAAGAAAAATATTGAAGTATATTACAAAACGCTACTAATCTACGCTAGTGAAGGGAGAAGGGTTTGAACTTGAGACAATTGGTTGACTAAGAATGCCAGGGCAATCCATCACTCATTATTGCTTCTTTGTTTCTTTTTTCTTTCTCTTACATGAAGAAAGTTGAAGTTGCACTCCAAATTAGATAGCACCACACAACATTTTTCCCTTTCTAAATCACGACCTCAAAAAAACTTACCTCACATGCATTCTATCATGTCCTTAAAAAAGAAAAAATTACTATTATTATGGAGTGAGGGAAGAGTTTGAAACTATTACATTAATTGAGAGAAAGGGAGAGTTTCGAACCGAGACACATAAGTAGAAACTCTACACCTAATCCAATAGGAATTAATAATTTAGATTTGAGGTTAGGTATCGAATAACGAGTTGAATTAAGTTAGGACAAGTTAGACTGAACCTACTAAAATTGAACCATACACAACTAGTATTGTAGGATAAGTGTTGGATTATATGGTCCTCTTTTCCGATGGACCCCTTGCCTACGAATTATTCTCAAATGTCACATATCACCGTATATATTGTTATCTTTCTTTTTCACAGCACGCCAAAATTGATAATTAAAAAATCTGCCTCAATGATTTGTGACACATGAACAATTATGCACAAAAAAAAAATATATATATGAGACAAAAAGGAGTGGACAAAGTAAGAACACATATATATAAACCTGTAAACGGGTCGGGTATGAGACAAAAAGGAGTGGACAAAGTAAGAACACACATATATAAACCTGTAAACGGGTCGGGTTGAACCCGACCCGTTAAGTTAAAGGGTCACCCGAACCCAACCCGTTAAGCTAACGGATCACCCGAACCCGACCCGTTAACGAGTGTTAAGACTTTACTAAAATTACTAAAATATCCTCAACTAACGAGTATTAACGGGTCCTAACGGGTCTAACGGGTTGACCCAAAGTGACCCGTTATTTAACGGGTTGTTACCCGACCCGTTAAGCATCCATCCAAATACAAATATTAACAGGTTGGGTCGGGTCGGGTTAACGGGTTGGGTCCAAAATGCTAGGTCTAGATAATACTGCTTTATAAAAATAAAAAAATAAAAAAAAGAAAAAAAAAGAATGACAGACTCAATGACTAAGCCTAAATCACCTTTTCTAATATTCAATATCATTGTATAAAAAATAAAAACATGTGTACATATGGTCATCTAGGATTCAACACCAAAAACCAAACACAAAACACAAAACACAAAACTTTTACGTTAAGAAAGGAAAAATTATTCTAACCACTCCAAAGGGCATAATTGGAAAGTTAAGTCAAATATTAAATGGGGCAGCCTAGCTAACCTCTGGGAAAGACGTGAGGAAGCCGCGAGACGACGTCGGAGAGACCTCGGCGCTGTAGACGGGAGCAATCGTGAGGGCGTAGCCGACTCCGATGCCGGCGACAAAGCGGCCGCACATGAGGAAGGTGTAGTTGGCGGAGAACCCCATGAGAATCGCTCCGATGAAGAAAATCGCTCCGGAGATGACTATGGTGTAGCGGCGGCCGACCCAGTCGGAAGTTTTTCCGGCCATGGCGGACCCAATGAGGGAGTAGATTTCAATAACACCGATCATGGTTGACTGCAGAGTATGAAGTGGTAACTAAAACAATTATGTATGTTTTCATCCTGCATGAAAAACAGAAGCATTCTAGAAAATAATTTCATCCTACAATTCACAGTAAAAAGAAAAATACGGAAAATAAAAAGCAAATAGAAAAATTGATTAAAAATCCTCCATATATAATAATAAATCTAGTTAAAAATCCTCAATCATAGAATTAAACAGCCAGGCACAAATACATATACAACAACAACAAAGCCTTTTCCCACTAAGTGGGGTCGGCTAGGCACAAATACATATAGATCTAGAAAAATCAAAACCAAAATTTACCCAAATTAGAGGCTACTGAGTGCGGATGTGCGGGCAGAGGGCTGCTGGAGGCAAGAACCTGCAAATTCAAAACCAAATTTAGAAAAAAAACGATAGAAAAAATTTGAAAAGAAACTTCAATCCTATCAGATTGGGTTTGAGCGTATGAAGGTGATCATACACTCTTAACATTCATCCAGAAAGTTCTGTACTTCCCATGTCCATCCGCTCATTGCTTTTTTTGGTCGCCACTAACAGTGACAAAAATCCAAGGCAATGAAATAGTAGCAAATTAAAATTAAAGTTTCACATTCTGTGGATCTGGTTAAAACTGTACAGTTTCACCCATTATTCATTGATTTTCGAAAGATAAAGGAAATTGATAACTGGGTGTCTAAGCTTGGCAACCAAATAACGAACTGAAGAGGAAAATCCAAAAGACAATTAAAGAAATGTAGGGAAACAAATAAGTACCTTGTTGTCGCCTGAAGAACTCGATAGAAAACCGAATCTCTCTTTCCCTAATTTGGGTCCCGTTATGTTAGAGAGAGGAGAGTGGCCAAGAAAGGAAGACGAAGGAGAGTGGTTGTCGCTGTCGCTGGCAACCACCAGTGGTTGGTCGTTGGAGTTGGGGTGAGAGAGTAAGCAAAGAGGAGCTGAAGACGGCCGGAATGGGTGAGAACAGAGAACTAAGTGAAATAGGTTTTACACCTTGGGGTTTTGATATTACTAGAAATTGAACCCGCGCGATGCTGCGGGTTTTAAAACTATGTTAAATGTGCAATCCATGTCAAAATTTATTTACATCCTAATGTTCAATAAAGAACCAAAACAGTCCACAATCATGCTATTTGGCCCCTCAATATGCAGACGCCATCCCCATCTTCATTCTGCAAATGAATTTATTCATTTTTCTATACCGAAATGAAAGCTTTCTTAAAAAGCATTAATTCATGAAAACCATTCTTACCTAATGATTATAAGAGATATATGCACCATAACACAGCATTCAGACATCCAGTAGTTGAAAGTGCAATGATCTGTTGCAATTGGTAAGTAATACTTAGTCAGTCACTTACCAAATGGACCAAACAATAAAGAAAAAAACAATCTTGGTTAATTCATTTTACTAAGGCTATGAAGTTCCGAAATGAAAATGCAGCAGTCATTTGGAATGTCAAGACTTATTCATAAAATTTAACCATGATATACAGATTCTCTGTGTTTTCATCTTCTGGATTACATGGAAAGTAGTGTTACAAAACATGTTAACGTCAAAAACTCATGATTTGGCCTGAAACCATTAAAATTCTTTGCTTATATTGGAAAGGGTTTAACAAATTAGGCATGATCGAGGACACTAATTCAAAGGATGGTTAAACTCTCTGACAACTATAAGTCTCATACAAAAACACTCAAAGAGCTCAAGTGGATTGCACAGTATCTCAACACAGATCACACGAATGGAAAACATCATTCAGACTTGCAATGCCTAACACTACACAATCCTACAATACTGTGTGAAAACCCGACCAAATTGTTCAACATTATCAAATTGAGCACAGTTCTGACTGATTTTATACATAATTCAATGATCCAGAACACCGCAACCATAATTTGAACAGTCTACATTCAAATTTCAGTAACTAAATAAATAAATACCCTTTTCCCACCCATATGCAGTATATTCACTTTCTTGAGAAAAAAGTACCAATGAATTGAAAAATTAAGAAAAACCCAAATGAAAGAACAGGAATTTTCATGTGGTCTGAGCTGTGCCACCTTTCGAAACGGTTGTTTCAGAAATCCTTGTGGGCATCTTCAATTTGCTGAACCTCTTCTGGTGTTCCAGTCTCTGGGTGGAACTCCCACACCTGAGACTTGCAGCCATGTTTCCAACTGCTGCATCTCGTGCATCCCGTCCCTATTGCTTAAGGGAAACATGGCTGCAAGTCCCAGGTGTGGGAGTTCCACCCAGAGACTTAAGCATCTTAATTGGATTCCCTACAATTTGGTAGAGGTTCATTCCAAGTTATTGGAATGGGATTTTCCTCTCATTATACCCTTGGTAAATATAAACAATCATTGGAGACCAAATAGCACACACTCATCAATAAAAGATTAGCAACCTTTACTCAGGATAAAACTACAAAAAAAAACTTGCACACAAACTTTTGCACTGAAGATGATGAGAAATAAAAATATCACACCAGAACTTCCACTTTCAAAAATAAATCATGGACCTACGGATTAGGAGAAAGCCGTAAGGCACTTCATGGCATTTTTAAGGGTCTGATATCTGCGAGCCGTTCACATATACCTATCAAAGTGAACAACACCATTAAATGCTAGGGTTGACATCTATTTGTACATCCACAAAATAGAAACAGTGAAGGAGACACAGTAAGCAAACCAAAAGTACTACTATTTTGCAGTGGAGGCTATATAAGTGATAATTTCAGCAACCTGTTGCTGAACCTGCATTTATCAAGACGTAACAAAGTAAAGCAAACAAAAAAAGGTATTGTTAAATCTTCCTAACTACAAATTCAAAACTATAAAGTACCTAAACATTTTCTCACTCCAACCAGAGACGGCAGAAAGTAAACGAACTAATATCTCAACTGATTGGTTAATGTCCTGTAAAGCTTCCACTTCTTTTTTATATGAGGATATCGCTGCAACAAAATCAAATATAGTTATAATAAATTCAACCAATATGGCATGAAAACCATGTGAATTAATCATATGAATTGAGTCAAATGACTGAAAAACACAACACAAAACACATCAAACCACCAACAAAACAGATCGATGTCCAAAGTTTGCAGTGAAAAACACAGAGACTTAAAAATTAACAGGAAAAAATAGTGACAACCATTGTTAAAAATACACTCAAAGAGTTAATAAGATTAGATACAGAATATTTAAGCATTCATAAAACAACATGAATAAATAGAGGAAAAATTAACAACTCACCCCATAGAAATTAATCAAACATTGTAAGCCTGCAATGAACAAAACAAACAGTGAAAATTTTAAAAAAAAAAAAATCAAACATGAAAAAATTCAAAACAAATCAAACATGCAAGAATAAAAATTAAATAAAATTAAACACCACATCAATCCAAAACCCAAATTTTATTTCTTTTCTTTTCCTCCAAATTAGACCCCCCAAATCCAAAATGGATCGAGCCCAGGGGAGCTGCAATTTCTCACCGGTTCCAGAAGCCGCATGCCCTGCGGTGCTGTAATGGAATCGTCACATATTATTCAACGAATATGCATAGACTACAGAATTTCCAGAAAATAAACTTTGTAAATTATGCATAAAAACATTTACAAATGGCAAAGATTCATATTTGCAAAGGGAAAAAAGTACAAATTCATTCAAGCAAAGAAAGCAATAATTGCAAAAGAAAAGAAATATTGTAGACCAATGATTTATGGTAATAATTATTATGAAGAAAGAAATTGTTCTTATTTTTCTACTGGCTATCAATGTTGTTACAACCCTTGATATGATTTTTTAAGAGCTTTCATAGTTGTTAAAACTAATTGACTTTTGCTGTTGAGAAGGGTGCCTTCTATAGGAAGAAAACAAAATATAAAGTTAGTTATAAACTTAATGCACAATATAATGAAAGTTTTACCTCCATGGTAATAGGCAGTAGGTGGATAAGCATTCGGGAGATAGCATATAGCGGATATACGAAATCATGTAACAAAGGGGTAACAGAGTGCTCTGGTGGGATCTGTCCAAGGTCTTTCTGGTTCTGCATAGAGAAGATCAAATAAAACTCCTGATTACCTGCTGTTGGAAACAAATAATAAATATACAGGGAATTTTATAGAAAATTAGGATTAGATTTTAACGGTTCTTACCCAAATTCGGCCAAATTCAAGCCTACCCTCAACGATTCCAGTTCGTATAGCCTCAACTCAGCATCACACAGAAGAATGTTAAACATGCAACACGGAAATGAACCAATTCCCTAAACTTTCGAAATTGGGGATGATCTGAATATGGAATAAAACCTAGAATAACTTGCCATGAGTACAGAACGTTTTAGACAACGATTGAAGCCCATAATTTAACGCGGCAGTGGCCCCTAGTGGTCGTGGTGGTTCCGCTGCAAGAGAGAGTAATTGAAATATGCAGAACAAAAAACCATAGAAACAACAGAAAGAAAAACTCAAAATTTTTAGTAAAATTAAGAACAAAAATCACTAATCACACAACCAAATTTAATAGAAATAAAAACATCAGTATGCACGAAAGACCAAAATAATTTTTGAGGGGGAGGAAATTGATGAAACATCGAACCTTGAGAACTTGATTTTCTGGGCAGCGAGTGGAAGAGCAGAAACGGGCTTGAAGGGAGTGAGTTTGGTTGGATTCTAGGGCTTGATAGGTGTGCATGCAGTCGAAATCCGTGATGAGGAGAAAATTGATTTCGTGCAAGAGATTTTTTGTTTGAATCAAGTCGAGCAGGAATGAAGAGAAAACTGAGTTTCTCACCTCAGGTTGCTAATCATGGTTTTTAGCAAGAAAGGGAGAAAGAGATAGAGAGAGAGAGAGAGAGAGAGAAGCATAAAACTGGAGATCGGAGAGCCATCAGAGCACGAAGATCTTTTGTGAGGCAGAGATCGAAATCAAAATCAAAAAAGGAAGGCTCGAGAACTTCTGAAACCATGCAACGCGTCGACATCTCATAGATGCAGAGGAAACGTGGATATCAGGGGCATACATGAAATAACAGAAAATCAAGAAGGGCAAAAACGGAAGAACACTGTGCTTATGAACAGTGTTTTAGGCTTTTTTTCTCTTTTAGTATATATACTAGCTAGTAATGCCCGATGTGTTGCTGCAGGAGTACAAATTGACTTTCTAGCAGTGTATAAACTTGAGTTAGCATCAGTGTAACATTAATTAATCTAAACAAAATTACCATAGTGAAGGAAGGAATTTTATTTGCTATAGAAAAATCAGAGTTTTGATACCTTACAAAGGTAACTTGTTTAAAAAGATTGAAAGCCAGCAGTTTTCAAACTTGAAATTACACAGCATCCTTTGAAAAATAGCGACCATCATCGGATAGAACTATTGTACCACCTAGAGGAAAGAAAAAACAATGAGTCACTAAGATAGTCTTATACACAAAAAGAAAACGCTTGAAACTGAATGAACAAAATATTCAAACATGGAAAGCACATCATAAGGGATAATCTATCGTTTTTGGCCAAGTGAGGAATGATATCTTGAGGTACCGAGAGAAAGAAAAAAGTAGTTTCACATTATTTTATGATACCTGTTGGGTTAGTCTTGTATTTCACTTTATTTATAAAATCGACTACTGATATGGTTACAATGCTGGTAACATCACCCCTAGTATTGGGTGTCCATCTAATTTAACTTAAAGTTTCTTGTTCAATTTTGGATATACATAATGCTTCAGTTTAAGTTTTACCATGCAAAAAAATTGCGAGTCTAAATGGGTTTTATAAATAGATGATAAAACAGCAACTCAGTAGAATCGAAGACAATGAAAATTGAATATTATTTACCATAAACTGACATGCAAATTTTAAATGCAAGACTGCAAATGAAGAGAATTTGTTTCATCGTGTTCAGCAAGGAAATAAATAGCAATGAAAATAGTATGATTTGGTGACCTTTACCTAACTTATTCCAATGATAAGGATTAAAGGTTGACCAAACCAGATTCTGCAAGTAATGAGGTTGTATAAAAAAGCGAACAATTTTGGTCTCAAATTTTTTCTAGAATAATTGAAAAAAAATAAGAAAATTAACAGGTAGGAGTGTTTAACGTTATTTAATTATATGGAATGACATTAGTGAAGACCGAAGAGTCACATCACGTGTGACAGCAAAAGAAGCTGTATCTAGATTTGGGAAAAAAAAATACCTATAATCATAGAAATAAGTAAATAGAATTTTCAAATGCTCTTACCTGCAAGGCTTCGAGTCAAATATAACTGGTAAGCCCATTCCATTAGGGAAAGTTACGACCGATCCTGATGGACTCATCACCCAACGGACAGAATCTGGCAGAAGTATAAAAGCATTTGCTGCCCTTTATTGCAAAAGAAATGAATTACCATAAATCAAGAATCTATAGCATGATACACAAACAGAGGAATCATAGCACACAAACAGAGGAATCATAGCACCAAACCATTTGAATAAACAATATAAATAGATAAAGAGAGAAGAGATTGCAATACCTTCTCTGTGTGTATTACAAATGAAGCAAGGAGGATGGAGCTTTGATCTGAAACTGCTATAACACACGGGAGGGAGGGTTGGGAGCGAATGGCTAATTACTGCCTAATTTGACAGAATTTGGCCCGAATTGAGCTTGCCTATTCACTGTAAATTGCTAGAAAATGCAGCGGTTAGGGTTTAAACTGAAATCACAAATTTAAAGCAGATAGAATGTACCTGAGGTTATGAGGAGGTCCTCGCTAATGCTAGATGGGGCATCAGCCCAAGTCCTCTTCCATATGGGGATTCATGAATCGGAGGGGACATCTTTGATAACCAACATTGTATCCGCTCAAGGATGGGACATCTTTGATAATACATTTTTTATAATACCTTTAAAATGGAAGACAATTCAATTGCGTTCCTTTGGTGCTTAACATGGAACAACAATGCCCGCTGGCTGAAAAGAGCAGATTTCGTACAAAAATACTAATAAATTTTGAAGGAACCTAGAAACAAAAATTGCAGGAGAATTAACTATTTAGCTTTACTCCTTAGGTCAGTTCATAAAACCCTAAATGGTCGAAAGCCATTTGCTTTCCACTTGTAATCTCAGCCCAGAACAAAACTTCATTCAGTCAAGATGTATTCCTGGTGTTCTACTTCAATTTTATATTTTGATGGAAACCCAGAAACCCCCTTTACGTATATTACTACTGATTACCCTAACTATGTATCACAGCACCCAGAAACCCTGATTACACAGAAACCCATAAACCCTGATTACCCTATACCATATATCACAGCACCAATTCAAATAAGCCTTTGAAGAACTGGTGCCCCATTTTCGCTAACCAATTAATAAAACTTAAACCCAAAACACTTTTTAGACTACGAAGTTCAAAGAAACCCAAATCTTCCAATTATCCAGTTCAATATTTCAATTTCCCAACTAAAAAAGTTGAAATGAGCAGATAGAGGTTGACAGAGAATGAAATTTATTAACCCAAATCCTACACGCTAATAAACATGCAAAACTCACCTGGAAACGCCAGATTAGATCCCTAGAATCGGCGCAACTCGATTTAGAAATCGAGTTTGACTGTGTTCCAATTCGTTTGGGGACAAAATTAGGGTTTGATTTAAGAGGAAGCAATGTATCCGGGTTTTCGTTCAGGCGAATGGGCGCAGAGACGTGGAAAAAGAAGGATTATGAAGCGAATTGAGGGGCAAGATTGATCGCACTTGTTGGAATCGAATGCGAGATTTAGTAAGCCCGAGAACAGCAAAAGAGAGAACTGTGAGAAAGATGTGAGAACGCAACGGAAAGCAAAAGAAAAATTGAGAACACAGTCCAAATAGAGGGAGGAGGATCCTCTCCCGAGATCCTAGGATCCGCAATCATGTCCGTTCATTGTATATCGTGCGGTCAGAAATTATTTAAAATTTAAATTTTAAAATTCAAATATGAATAGTATCTAACGAAAACTGACCGCACGATATAAAATGAACGGACAAGATTGCAGGATCCCTAGGAAACTGCTCAGGAGAGGATCCTGGTTCCAAATAGAGGATCCGACGCGTGGAAGCAGTGGGCAAAAGCGGCATTTCGCTGCCCCAAAAACCAAAGAGAAGAACAATCGGATGAAAAAGCCAGGGGCAAAATCGTCCGCCCACTGGTCATCCACAGTACCTCCCTACTAAGTTTTAGTATATAGAGATATTATACATATACTAAAACCCAACATAAAAAAAAACTATTCATTGACAGTGTCATTCCATTTTCACCTCTGCTTCTTTTTTGTTATTTCAGGTTCGCATTTCGTTCCCACACCGTTTTAGATCACGTCTTCTCTAGATGCTTCCCCACCATTTCAGACTGTAGACCCACTTTTTCTCTGCTTGACTCTTGCTCTCCCCGTCTCCCTCCTCGCCTCACTCTTCTCTGCACCAAGCAGCTCGATTTAGGGCTTCACCATTTTTCTTTGAATCAAGGTCTATTTCTCTCCCTATTTTCCCAATCTAGGTTTCCCTCTCTCTGTGGAAAAACCCTAGATCTCGCCACTGCCGCAGAGTCCAAGCTCGGCCTTTTCGAGCTTCAATCTGCCTTGCCGATCGTCTCCTCTAGATGCCTCCACCTAAACCCCTTTGGTAAATTTCCCAACTTTTCCCCCAATATTTTTCTCTCTATTTCTGCGCTTTTGAAAGGTTTCAGATTTCGTCTTCTTAAGCTTATGTTTCTGAAAGGACCTTGATTTTGTGTTTAATTTGGGTTGTAGATATCTTGGTTTGTTCTTGATTAAATCATTAATTAATTAATTAGCTAATTTTCCATCTCATCTGGTTGTAAATTGGTTTAATTGAAGTTTGATTTCATTGTTCTAAGTTCCTAGCTTTCAGTTTCGTGGGAAAATTCCCTATTTAGTTGAAAAATAGGCGTTCACTGGTAATATGGGCCTAGAAAACGTAGGAAAATAAATCTTAATAAAATTATGTGACCTTTTGCTTTTATGTCCAGTAAATTGAAATCTTGGGCTCAGCCGAGTTGTGTATTAGTTAGGTTCAGTTGCATGGATTTTGTTTTTAAGATCAGCAGACAATTTGAGATTGAAATTTTTATATTTTTTCATTTCGTAGTTATCTTTTATGATCAGTAAATTGCTTATTGTGGTTTATATACTAAATGCTGCAAGCAAGCAAAATTTGCTTCTTGAGCAGTATGTTCAGGGGACATGCATCGTATTTTTCATGTAAAATCAAGACAAACATGGATTTTCTATCACATTGGACTTAAAAAGTAAATTAGGTAAAGCCAATACCAGCTAAGCGGACATGCTTGCATATGAACAACTGTGTTCCCATTTCAAGGATTTGGTTCAGATAAACTAGGATGTTCCAAATATAACTGCACAAATAGAGGTTGGCTACTCATTGACTTAATAGGGGTTATTAATAGAGGTTGTTGCCACTACTTTGTATCTGTTGGAATCAGGCTCACTCTTCGTTCCCACACCGTTTTAGCCCCACGTTTTATCTAGATGCTTCCCCCACCATTTCAGACTCTAGACCCACCTATTCACACATGAATAATTTAACATTTTGCTTAATAAATTCAGGAAAGGCAAATAGTAACAAAAAAAACAGCAAAGAAATGTGGGCAAATGTGCATGTGTGAATGCACAAAGCCACACATGAAAAATTACCGCAGAGAGAAATAGGAAAGCATACAAACTGTCCCTCCAAATTTTTGTTTATATTGTAGAGTAGATGTATTTGATCCTCAGTTGTTCATGGCATAAATTGTTGACTGCTTTTGTAGTTTAGCTCTACTAATAAGAAGTGTGGCAAATGTGAGATTGCTTTCACTTTGTGATACACTGATTTCCTACATTGTTGTCAAAATATGTGTAATGGTTGATTATGGCTCGCATATGTTGTTCTTCGATTAGTAGTCAGGGTTGTTAATTTATCTGGTTTTTTGGTTTGATTTCGATAATTTTTTTGGGTTTTTGGTTGCTTTGATCTGGGTTTTCAAGGTAAGTTCTGCATGTTTGTTGCCACACAAGGTTTTGATTTCCCTTTTTTTTTTTATGGCTTTTTTTAGTATCTCATGTGCTTTTGTTTTTTATTTCAGAAAATTTGTGCCCATTTTGGATTCGCTTCGTACTTGGTTGAGACCCATCTAATCCGGCATTTCCAGGTAAGTTTTGACATTTCAAAAGATGGCTGGATATTCATTTCGGAACTTCACAGCCTTTCTTCTTAGTTAAATGAATTAACCAAGATTGGTTTTTTCTTTATTATTTGGTCCATTTCGTAATTGTTGAGTGACTAAGTATTACTTACCAATTGCAATAGATCATTGCACTTTCAATTACTGGAGGTCTAAATGCTGTTATGATGTGCATATATCTCTATAATCATCAGGTAAGAATGCTTTTCATGAAATTAATGCTTTTTAAGAAAGCTTTAATTTCGGTATAGAAAAATGAATAAATTGACTGATGAATTGTTTTTGCAAAATGAAGATGGGGAATGGGCTCTCTGCATATTGAGGGCCAAGTACCATGTTGTAAACTGTTTTGGTTCTTTGTTGAACATTAGGATGTATATGAATTTTGATATGGTTGAGAATATGTTTTAATATATTTCACACATTTAACATAATTTTAAAACCCGCGGCATCGCGCGGGCTCAATTTCTAGTATATATATATATCAATAATACAATTTCTTCAGTATATTTTTATTTTTTATTTTAATACTATATGTGACCAATGGCATAAACCTGGCCTTCTTTTTTGTTATGTAATGAATTTTAAAGTTTGGTCACATATTAACATTTCATTCGGCGGTAAAATTTTCTGCCCAATAGTTTGTGGCAAATTCAGAAGTTTATGTGACGCAAAGTATTTTAGTGTCCAGTGAAAATTATTATGTGACAGTTTCTAAAAAAAGCGTCACTTATTTTACCCAAATGTGATAAATTTTTGCGCGCCACAAAAAATTTCATCACCTAATCCATATTTTCTTGTAGTGTTTACAGCCACTGAGATGGTGTTTGTCTTTCTATTTCACTATGTATGGAGGATTTACAAATGAAAGCATTTTTGCTCACCATCATAATCTATAGTGTATGCTCACCATAATTTATGGTGTATAATCATTGTCATGTCACATGTCCTTTGACTTAACCTTCGTTAATTTTTTTTCAAAATTGAAAAAGTAACATTTAATGTGAAAGTTAACTAGAATTAGGTAAAAAAGGTGACAAATTATTAGGTGTATGGTGAACATATACCATAGTTATGGTGGGAGAATGGCTCTTCTTCTTTTTGTTGGGGTGGTGTTACTGTTGTTTTCTTGGTCTCCTATTCGTCCCATGGTTCACTTGGAGAAAAAAATGAAATCTCCAATTAAGCATTCAATGCCACTTTTCATATCTTTTGCTACACTTGGACATCAAGCATTGGAAGTAATGGTAACCGAACAAGATTATAATCATTACAATGCATGTGGGCAAATACCAAAAGGAGAGAGGATCCTGGGGATCCTCTAATCACATTCATTCATCGTACATCGTGCGGATAGTTTTTGTCAGGTACTGTTTATATTCAATTTTAAATAAAAAAAAATTTACAATAATTTATGACCGCACGATCTACGATGAATGAATGAATGTGATTGGAGGATCCTCTTGGTACCCAAAGGCCTCATCCATACTCTAAAAATTAAATAAACCCACCTCAACCTATCTAGAGTAGTAACTAACCCCTTATCTTTATTCTCTATGGTTGTCTAAATGCCATCTTATCTTTGTGAGAAAATCAAGCCAAACTCTAGTCATGATTGTCATATTATCTCGTTTTAATCTTAGTTCTTCAATTCAAATGAAAACATCTCTGATTAAGTATGAATGTGAAATTAATATTAACTTGTTTTGAAATAATTTTGTAGCAAAAAGGATTTTACGCTGAGACTAGTTTACATATAAAAAATACGAGTTATGGTATAAACATACAGAAACCCAAAGAAAATCATTACATTTGAATTAAGATAATTGCTCACCCACATATATATACACAAAGACACACTTATATTTTTTTGTTAAATACAGGGTATTACAAAGCGTGGCATTCTCTCACTATAGAGCCGGTCTCACACTAGTGTTCGTTGGACTTTTGGGCTTGTAGTTTTAAGTGAAACCATTTAACTTGTTATGCTTGATGGATCAAGGGCCCACTAGGCTATGAAGCCCGAAACTAACTTAAGGGCCAATAAGAACCTTTTCATTTAATTATTTAACTTTTATTTCAGTACAATTCATTAGGTTCTTAATAATGAGGCAATGTGTGATTAGAGCTCTTACTAATTGATTATGAACTGAAACTATTTTTTAATTCTTCCTTTAATGAAGATTAGCGAGTGCTAATCCTTAGGGCTTCCACAAGCCATGAGTGACACTTAATAGTATGTCACGACTATCCAAGCTCAGCAGAAGAGGTGGATAACCTATTTAATTGAAATTACAATGTAATACAGTAATTTTTCAAATTAATACTCTTGATCACATTGTTTGGTTGATAGTTTATTCATATCTACTATCTATGTGATTCCCATGAAAGCGATCTAGAACATACTTCTTAAATCATATTCATGCACTCTAACTATAGACTCTTGAAACATATCATAGAGTATTCTTCATCGATAGTTGAAGGTAAGAGATCTTTTATTGTACACTCACACGCCTCTATGAATAAATCAGCGATCCTAACAATGTGCGGAATGAACCTTAGGTTATGAAGCATGATATGATCAAAGATGTATCCATAAGGCAAATGTA